CCTTTCATAGCCTCCCTCCCCATTCTTAATCTTCTTCTAGTTACCTGACTGCACTCCCAGTTTCTATCAATGTTTGACCCCAGGCATGATAATTCTTTTACTATTTCTATTTCCTCATTGTCTAGATTGAACTTGGGAAGGTCCTCGGTGGTCATTATTTTTGTTTTCTCTATGTTCAACATTAACCCTGCCTTCACATTTTTTTCTTTTTACCTTTCTTAGTAGGTGTTCCAGGTCTGTGAGCTTTTCTGCTAGTACTATGGTGTCATCTGCCATGAAGCAAGGGAGAAATCCAGGAAGATGGAATTTGGAAAGCTGATCTTTCTTTTGGAAATGCTGGGTTACATTTTTGCCCTTAAAATGTATATAAGTAGATCACATTTTCAACTTATATTTGGGTAGACCCTTACTGTCAAAACTTAAGAGTCAGGATAATTGTGTGTGTGTGTGTGTGTGTGAGTGTGTGTGCAACTTTCAACTTTGTTCAGGCACCCTATATTATGGTGGTGGTGGTGGTGGTGGTGGTTGTTGCTGCTGTGTGCCTTGCAGTAGTTTCTGGCTCTAAATGGAGAACCTATCAAGGGATTTTGCTTGGCAAGAATTGCTTAGAGGAGGTTTGCCCACACGTGGTAAAATACAAAGTTTCATTCCACTTTGGAGGTTTGTATATCTCCAGGGAAGCCAAGGCATATGTTCCCTTGATAGCTTAATTGGAAGAGCAGAGGAGCATTACCTTGTACAAATCCTTAGTTTGCTGGTTCAGTTCCAGCTGGAGGGGGACAATTTTTTCTAGCTTGCACTTTCAGTTTCCCATTGAATAAAAGCCATCCATGCGCACACTGTAAAATATTAACAGTAGGTAGAGAGATCTTGTAGTCCCTTTGAGACTCACTGAAAGTAAGAAGCTGGCAGCATGGGCTTTCCTAGACTTCAGTCTACTTCCTCAGATGCATTTGGTATTATTATTATTATTATTATTATTATTATTATTATTATTATTATTATTATTATTATTATTATTATTATTATTATTATTATTATTATTATTATTATTATTATTATTATTATTTAGAGAGATATTATAGCCCCTTTGAGACCCATTGAAACTTACTGAAAGAAAGAAGCTGGCAGCATGGGCTTTCCTAGACTTCAGTCTACTTCCTCAGATGCATTTGGTATTATTATTATTATTATTATTATTATTATTTAGAGAGATATTATAGCTCCTTTGAGACCCATTGAAAGAAAGAAGTTGGCAGCATGGGCTTTCCTAGACTTCAGTCTACTTCCTCAGATGCATTTGGTATTATTATTATTATTATTATTATTATTATTATTATTATTATTATTATTATTATTATTATTATTATTATTATTATTATTATTATTATTATTATTATTATTATTATTATTATTATTATTTAGAGAGATATTATAGCCCCTTTGAGACCCACTGAAACTTACTGAAAGAAAGAAGCTGGTAGCATGAGCTTTCTTAGACTTAAAATCTACTTCTACTTCGATATGCATGTGACAAAGTAGACTTTAGTCTAGGAAAGCTCATGCTACCAGCTTCTTTCTTTCAGTAAGTCCTCCCTTTTCATGGGGGATCTGTTCCAGACGCACCCACCCCCAGCGAAAACTGAGACTTGCCAATATTCAAGCCCCATAGGCTTGAATGGGGTGTGCCTCCCAGGGACATACCTCATTGATTTTAATGGAGGTTGCCCTCTGTGAATGTTCAAAACTGTGGACCTCTAGTCCGCGAGAAAGGAGGGGCTACTGTATTTGCAATTTAGTCTTTGTAACTGATGGGGATTATGCTGGCCTTCACTTTGTGGGGCAAAATGAAAGACTCTTGCTGACTGATTACTTCTCACAAAAAGTATTGGTGCAAAATTATTACTCTAAACCAGGGGTAGGCAACCTAAGGCCCGAGGGCCGGATGTGGCCCCCCGAGGACTTTGGACCGCCCCAGGCTGGTCCTGCCACTGCCGCCCATCATCATTATATTGATTACTGTTGTTATTACTTGTTCTTGGGGGTTTTTTTTTGGCAAAATCTCCACAGGGGTTTTGCCATGGCTTTTCTGGGGCTGAGAGAGTGTGCATGCATATATTTTTTAATTTTTTAAAAAAATAATATTAATATTTATTTATTTATTTATTTATTTTTAGTGCTTCGGGCCCCCCAATTGTCTGAGGGACAGCAACCCGGCCCCCGGCTCAAAAAGGTTGCCCACCCCTGCTCTAAACTAATGAAATCAATGTGTTTTAAGTTAATGTTTAAAAGAATACAATCTTTTTTAAACCCATAGTTGAGAATACCACCTGCAGACTTGAGCAACCAAAATATCTGAATGCATTCAAATTCACATGCCAGTTTATTTTGTAAGCATAGTTTCTTTCCATTAACAGCTTAGTCCTATATATCCCTGTTCAGAAGTTTACTTTATTTAATCCAAAGGAGCTTATTTTTTCAGTGTGTTTAGGGTTGAAACAAGTTTTCTTTGTCTCTTGATACTCAAATACATAATAATAAATTATATCAGTATGATATCCTGATATACAGTATGACATGCTGAGAAAGTCAGTCTTTTCACGATGCTGTGTAGATGCAGAGCCCTACATAAACAGGGAATTCTTACAAAATATATATTTTTTCTGAAATACACTTAATTAGGATTTCTGGCTAATTTATTAACAGATGGAGCTGAGACTGGATTAAATAGAGCTAATGCGCAGAGGTATGCACAAAATGAATGCAGGCACAACAGCCTGCTACAGTAAGTATAGTGGATATTTTACTTAAACTCGTAGACATGATACATACTGCGCGCACAGTTGTCTGATAAAGTATTGGCAAGTAACAGCACAGATGGCTTTGCCCTAAGATTAGGCCTCACATGCCAGACGTGATCTGGGAAATTGTCATTTTAAAAATAACTTAACAACAAGTGCCAAGTTCTGAGGGATCTATGCATCTAATAAACAGAAGCATAGCAATGCCCCAGTGCTGGGAGTCAGTCATTGGGATTATACTATGGCCATGGAACCCAGGCAGAATTATCACCTCAGCTCAGCCAATAAAAATGGCACATTCTCGCTATTTCCCCAAGTACTTTAACTGGGAATAGATTGGGAGTGTATTTTTAAAATGCATTTGAACTGTTCCTTTACAAGCCACAGAGAAAACTCTTTTATGCAGAATATTACTGGAGATCTAATTATGTTTTCCCCATAGCAGCACTTAGTGCTACTAGCTTTAGGTGAGACAATGTGACAGGTAAGAAGACACCACCAACCAAAGAGACAAACATTTACCAGTGGGGTTTATGAAGCAGGGGAAGAAAAAGAAGGGGGAAGCTGGCTTAACATTATCTAGACATGGACATTGCTGGTCAGCCATATGCTAGTATGCAGGGTGAC